GCAGCCGTCCGCGCAGCCAAGGTCGCTCATCACCAGCGGCTTCTTCTCCCCACCCATTTCCAGCCACCCCCTTGCACCCACGCCGTCCGCAGCCGTCCGCGCAGTTCTCCGCACCCATTTGCCGTCCGCAGCCGTCCGCGCAGCCAAGGTCGCTCATCACCAGCGGCTTCTTCTCCCCCACCCATTTCCAGCCACTCCGTTGCACCCACGCCGTCCGCAGCCGTCCACGCAGTTCTCCGCACCCATTTGCCGTCCGCAGCCGTCCGCGCAGCCAAGGTCGCTCATCACCAGCGGCTTCTTCTCCCCACCCATTTCCAGCCACCCCTTGCACCCACGCCGTCCGCAGCCGTCCGCGCAGTTCTCCGCACCCATTTGCCGTCCGCAGCCGTCCGCGCAGCCAAGGTCGCTCATCACCAGCGGCTTCTTCTCCCCACCCATTTCCAGCCACTCCGTTGCACCCACGCCGTCCGCAGCCGTCCACGCAGTTCTCCGCACCCATTTGCCGTCCGCAGCCGTCCGCGCAGCCACGCTCGCTCATCACCAGCGGCTTCTTCTCCCCATCCATTTCCAGCCACGCCGTTGCACTCGCGCCATCCACAGCCGTCCGCGCACTTCTCCGTGCCCATTCCCCATCCGCAGCCGTCCGCGCAGCCAAGCTCGCTCATCACCAGCGGCTTCTTCTCCCCACCCATTTCCAGCCACTCCCTTGCACCCAGACCGTCCGCAGCCGTCCGCTCCATTCCTTTCCCTTCCTTTCCCATCCTTTTCCGTTCCTTTCCCATCCTTTCCCTTCCTTTCCCTTCCTTTCCCTTCCTTTCCCTTCCTTTCCCTTCCCTTTTCCTTCCTTTCCCATCCTTTCCCTTCCTTTCCCTTCCTGTCCCTTCCTTTCCCTTCCTGTCCCTTCCTTTCCCATCCTTTCCCTTCCTTTCCCTTCCTTTCCCATCCTTTCCCTTCCTTTCCCTTCCTTTCCCTTCCTTCCTTTCCCTTCCTTTCCTTCCTTTCCCTTCCTTTCCCTTCCTTTTTCCTTCCTTTTTCCTTCCTTTCCCTTCCTTTTTCCTTCGTTTCCCTTCCTTTCCCTTCCTTTCCCTTCCTTTCCCTTCCTGTCCCTTCCTTTCCCTTCCTTCCCTTCCTTTCCCTTCCTTTCCCTTCCTTTCCCTTCCTTTCCCTTCCTTTCCCTTCCTTTCCTTTCCTTTCCTTTCCTTTCCCTTCCTTTCCTTTCCTTTCCCTTGCACCCACGCCGTCCGCACACCACCGTTCGAGCCAGGTCGCTCCCCCACGCGGTTAAACAACTAAACGAGAACCCAAGCATCGAAGATGCTTTTGGGAAAAAGCTTGGTACAAAGCCAAAACAAGCAACACGCAACGACTTTAGCACTTGGGAGTATCCTATCTTTTGCTACCGGGATTAGCCATGACATGACGTGACCACATGGTAATAGATGCTATTTCAAGTAGTTCATTTTGTTACCATCTTACTGTGTCAAGATGTGTCAAGGCAATGCAACCAAACTCCTTGGCAAACCTCGAGAGTTTCAGCAAGAATCCTGACGTACTTGCTTTACGCCTGCTGGAGAAAAAAGTCACCTTGCACACCGTTGCTTCCATGCAACCTTTTCACATTGAGCTCACGCTGTGCGTCCAAAATTTTAAGATTAGTACAATATAGACAGATGTCTAATGACACATAAAAACATGTATATAGAAATGTGATACAGTAAGTAGTAAAAAGTATGAGCCAGTATAAGTACATATAAGTATAAGTATACATATATATATATATATACATACCTATATATATGATTATATATGTGCCTCTGAAATCTCTACATTGTATGGATGGAACTGTCTTCGAATTTTTATGCCCGCATAGGCTGCAAACTGTTTTCTTCCCCTTCCAAGCTTGTTGCTGTTCATCTTCGCTCTAAGGTCCCATGAAAGTTCCACAATGGAAATCCGCTCTGCTGGAACCATTTCTCATCTTCCAGGTTCGATGCCTCCTTTTTCTCTTGGGGGGGAGGGCGGGCAGGGTGAGTCAGAAGTGTCCCAAATCACACGAAATTTCATGCGAAGCTGGGGGCCTCGACACGTGATATGTCACGCGCTTTTAGGCCAACCTCTGCCCCAATGCATGTGCCAAAGCAAAGCTAGCTCCGGCAAGTTAGCTTTTGTGACAATGTCATGCATCCGGCCAGGCAAAACGCAATGGGAACAGCTCTTGCTTTCCTAGCTTCCCAAAACCACGTGGGCACTTACAAACGCCACATGTTCAATCACCAAGAAACAGAACTATGGTATATAATGGTATATCCTATATCTTACTGTTTGTCTTTGGACAAATGCACCTTAACAGCTAACAAAGCTCCCAAGAGTAACAAGATACCAAATATATATATATATTTATTTATTTATTTATTTATATTTCTTGCGTATGCAGCAGCCTAAACGTATCCAGCGTGCCTGCATGCATTCATGTCCGCCTGCCTTCCTGAAATATAGATGCAGCGCGTGCAAAAGACATGTAAACATATTTACACCATAAAGCAATGTATACAATATATATATATATATTGAATTATATTGAAATGTGGGATGATGGAAGGAATGTAGGTATGTACGGTATATATTATATATAGGTACGCAGGATAGGGAAAGTTGGCTCAGGTCGGTTAGGTAAATCTCTCTTGTGCTGCGAGCAAGATTGGGTTCCCAAGCCACACACGCTTGAATGCCTTCAAGGGCGTAAAGGTAGATCGGCAGGCACAGAAAACTTCACGACAAATAAACACAACAGGCGGAGCACTACCCATTATCTGACCATCTTTACCCGCCATCTTCAGACAGGCAACGGTTTTCTGCACTGTCTCAATCTCTTTCACTGTGCTGACGATTTTCTTCTCATCCTCTGCAAGTTTCTGGTCGAGCTTCAACAGCCTGAACTTGAAAGGCCATCGCTGTGCTCGCAACAAAGCCACACATGGATGGCTATACCTTGCTGCTTTGGTTAATTTGAACTTTTGCCTAAACAGCTACACTTTGCTACACTCTCCATTTTTTCTAGTTGGAGAAGCATCGCAGCCCAAACGGATGACAGCGGACCGTGTGCAGTTGTGGCAAGTTCCAGCATGTTGTAGCTTTTTGGAGCTGAGGCACGCGTCCACTGAGCAGCCTTCGTCGAGACAATCAAAAATCGCCGTCATGCAGCCTTCGTCACATTCCAAAACGGGTGGCGGCGGTGGCGGTGCCTGCCAAGTTATTGTCAATCCATGTCATGTATTGTCATGTTCATGTGCTCTCTCCTCTGTTTTATCATGTTTTATCGTTTTACCCTGCACCGGGTCCAATGTAGTCAATGTAGTCAATTCCCCCTTGGTGATGGCATCTTCAACAGTCTCTCGGCAGTCATCACCTCAGGAATCTGTAGATATAGGACTCCTTTTCCTGCTTGGTTTTGGTCAATAATTTTTGAATCAACTCAACTCAATAAAAGGATATAAAAGGTATAAAATGGGTACGTTTTTGTGAAGCGTTTGAAGATTGCCATCCCGAAAACCCAGCGTACCCCAGCATCACGATTACATGAACAGGGAGTATCCTTCAGCGCTCAAGATAGGTACACTCTTTAATTTCTGCTCACGGCGTCAGGGTGATGTTAGCAACTTATATAGGGTGATGTCAGCTGACCAAAGTGTTTATGCCAAGCAAGATCAGCAGGCCATAGCAGTGCCATAGCGCGCCTCCATGTCTGAAACCTCTGCACCAACGTTCACTTTGCCAGATTGATACTCAGCACGACGCGTGATCCTGCAAACGTGGCGTGCACCCCTCATTTGTCTCTCTCACACACACACAACACGATCAAGTAGTCAGTAGTGAAACCATGCGAAACATGATTGGAAACATGATGCCAAACATGATGTGTTTTTCCACTCTGGATCTGTCTGGCTTCTGTGGCACTTCCTCGTCCTGGTGGTACTGAACGCCATTGAAAGCATGTGCAAAGTCCCTGTGCAAATGCGACCCGCAAATCGCAACGGGATTCTGGATCAAAAAACGGATATGTGCCATTAAAACATATTAAAACAATAACGTAGGAGCAACCGAAGGTAACCACATTGTTTTCCATTGTTTTCCGGTCCTGGCAGGATTCTGATTTGCATGCTGTATCTCTTGAATGATCGCGCATTTAGTTGCAATGGCCACGGCCCGACCTACTCGGGGTATTTTCTATATTTTCTTTTGGATAAGGTATACAGTTGTTCGATCGTATTTGAGAGGAGACTTTTTCACATTTGCGTTCGCGGTGGAAATATGCATGTGTCTAGGAATTCCAACTGCCTACGCTCGTGGTTTCTCGATGCCCCGCGCTCCTGCAAAACATTGGAGAATGGAGAACATGGCGTTCAACTCTTGTCTCACCCCCACAAAAAGGGTGCTTGGTTGCATGCGCAACCAAACAGCTGCCCACCATCAAACAAACTCGCAGGTCCTATGCATCTAACCCCATCTTAGCAGTCACCTTCGCACCCAGCAAGCATGCCATTTACATATTACATAAGTATACCATAAATGACATTGGCAAAAGAGGGCACATGGGAGCCAGAAACATTACGCCAGCACAGCGCATTTCCTGCTTCTTGTTTCTTGAACTGCCAAGATGCGGGTGCAGGTTGAATTTCTGGGCCCAAATACCTGTAAATCATGCAAATTATATATAGTATAGTCTCGCCTGCAGGATGCTCATGCTTCCTGCGTAGGTGCGTGGCATATTTTCTGACGCTCGCGCCCTATGTGCCTTCTATGCGGAGGCGCGGGCAAGCAAAAGCAACCCTGGGAGGAAGCACACCCAAATTGGAAAATTGCAACAATGGCGGAATATGGCAGAATGGTTGAACAGATTTGAAAAGCATTGGTGACAAGAGTTGCGAATAGATGTCCGTCAAGAGGGCAGTGGCACTGCGGACCCTCAGTCCGCCAACTATTGTCAATGGTCAGGCTTACGGCCAACCCTTCACAGGCAGCCCAAGTCCCCACTTGTCATCCTCAACTGGACAATTTTGTTTTGCTTTTGCACGCCGTCACCAGCGCGTCTGATACGTGTGGTTCGGGGTCTCCAGCCGCATCTTTCCCGGCTATGAATCCGACAAAGACTTTGAGCTAGAATGGCCAACAATCCCCCATCTGGCTGCATTGCAAACCACCTCGTTCACACAAACGGCATTCAGATATTGTTCGCCTACAGCAATGCAAGTGGCGCAAATTGCACGAAGGCTTCTTGAAGACGCCATGGCACCTGCGGCGGGTCACCCAATCGACAAGGCTTCATGACAATTACATACCAATCGACAAGGCTTCATGACAATTACATTACATACCAGTACGAGTACCGCAAATCAAGCCAATGCAAACATATGCAAACCAAACGATTCAAATCTAAGGCCTCGCCTCCTCAGCTGCAGGATTTAGGCTAGAGGTAGCGGACTAGCTAGCAGCTAGGGTCCTAAATGTTGCACTTGGAAGGGGGCGGAAGCCGGAAGTCGTCATTCTTTGCGAACTGCATATCGAATACATGTCAAGTCGGGCCCAAGCTCGCACATTGTCTGGCGTGAAGACTGGCACGTCACTGAAAGCAGGCAATCATTCCTTTTTACACTTGCGACTGTTTGTGCATGCCTGTGCCATTGCAGTCTGGCAGTATCTGGCAGTGATACAGTGCACAGGCAAACATCTGTACAATCATAGCAGCGTTCGTGTGGGCAGTCCGCTCACAAAAAGTTTGATAGTTCAAGGCTCGAGCATTGTTAGTTTCCTGCGAACCCTTCCAAAGCTTCATGCCTTAAAGTGGCAATGTCTGCAAACCGATGTCAAGACCAGAGCTATAAGCTGTCCATTTGAATCAAGATGAAACAAGTTTATAAGTGTCTCTTCTTTGCCTGATACAAGACCCAAGGACAGCACAGAACCACCAATGTCTGGCAGTGCTTCATTTCCATCCATATCCGTTTCTTCTTTGTGTTGGCCAGGCGATGGATTGTTGTCCTGACTGTTGCAATCCATGCTCATCAACCTGTTTTTTTTCACATGTTCTCTCTCTCTCTCTCTGTCCCAATTGCTGCAGCAGAGACATGCCTTCTGTCAAGCATTTGAAATGACATGAGCATGATTTGAGAAATGGAAACATATCCGTTGCAGTTCGGAACGGTTTCCACAGGCAATTTTTCTCCAAAGCATCTTTCATCAATGCGCTGGCTGCCGGTGCCAACGGAGCTTCTGATCGGGCAGTTTCTCTCCTGCAGCCGGAACAAAATGGCCAATGCCCCCAACAAAAAAGGCAATCTTCACAACTGGATTTGTTAAGTTTCATGGGTCGGGGGGGTAGGGTTGAAAAAAATTAAACAACAATTTACTTAAGCCTGCCAGCAAGGAAATTAACATGGTTCTCAAACCTAACCAAGCTTGCATACCCTGCTGGTAGCGGAAATGTGGCATGCACCTTGTTTTCCAATTTTTCGTAAGACAATTCCAAAACAAAAAATGCACCAAAACTATGTCTAAACCACAAAAAAACGAAGCCCACCCCGCTCAAACCCAAGCATCACAGGAACATACAGGAACCATGCTCCCTGGAAATTTGTCCGGCACACTGGGCTGAGGCTGCGCTAATTTTTTTCTCCAAAAACAACGTAGGCCTGTCAACGGGAACTTTACCCCCCCTTGTCCGTCACAAGTGAAGTATCTAAAGTTATTTTTTTTTAGAATTTGAGTTTTCCCATTTCCGTCCCAGGAAAACGTTTCGCACAGGTAAAGTATCTATATATTTTTCAACTTTGCATGATGATATGATTGGTACTATCATCCATCTAGCTACAAGTCAACTGCCATAAGCATCCAAAAGCGACCAGCAGAGAAGGAGGTGGCCACTGTACGTGTGTGTGTGTGCGTGGGAAACCCTGAATCAAAGGGTAACAACTACAAAATGCAAATGAGGATTTGAAAGGAATCAACTACAAAATGAATGCAAATACAAAAAGGTGGTCCCAACTCCTCCTTTTTGTACAAAACGACCCCTGGCTGGCATTCTGTACTGTAGCCCAAGTCCTCCCCTTTTACGTAGCTAAAATTTGAAGGAGGATCCAAAAACAAGAACCCCACACAAAGATGTGGGGAACAACACTGTTACACGGAACTCTTTCACACCTCACTTCGACATGCATTTCTTGCACACACCGACCCCCACCATCTCTTTTCTCTTTCCTGCCTTTCCCATCCCATTTTCACCTTTCTTTGGTTACTTATTGGAAGAAGTTGACATGTGGGGTCATCCGGTCCTTTGATTATTTCCAACCTGGCCCACGAAACTTAACAACTCGGCTGCCTTGTAACACCTCAGTCCTATCAAATGTCCTAAGAAGCACAAGTCTGCAACGACAGCAACAGCAACTATTATATACAATTAAAGTTCGCTGCTGCACTGTACAACAACTCGGCAAACCTGACCTGGGAGCCACCGGCCCTGGAGAGGCCTGAAGTATTGCTAAATTTTTGTCGACAAGTCCAGCCTTCTGACGAGGAACTTCCGGATCTCTTCAGCGGCAATAATGGCAAACCTGGGGGCCGCAAAGCAAACACTTCTCGGGTTCGTTGCTATTCGTTGCCACTTGTGGCTTGCTGCTCCCCAAATCAAAGAATATTGAACCAACTTGAACCATCCCGGGCCTACGCTTTTGCGCTGCGATGTGATGTGATCATTAATTACACTTTATAACTTGCGTGGATCATCCTTGGTCCATTATCAGCCCAAGAAGCAAAGCACAGGAGCCAGCAAGCATCTGTCGCAGGGTCAAAGCTTTCATCCCAAAAGCATGCCTCAAACACATAAATAACATCGCAGAACCAAGCAGAACATGGCAGTGTCATCTTGTGCTGTGTCACATTGCGGCCATAGTGTCCGCTGGTCATGCGATTGATGTACAAAGCCTGTTCCGCACAGTCACCGGACAAGGGCCAAGACACTGTAGATCCGTGTGGTAAATCACTGCTATGGAGCAGCCAAACTCAAGTATCTCAGTCAAGCATAGCAATCATGATGCGGTAAATGATGCACGCAAATTACATATGTGTTTAATAATTGTATATCATGTCGAATCGTGTGTATATATAATATATATATATATTATATAATGTTGGCTGCCTAATAGTAATTACCCACCCACCCCATTTTTTTTTTGGGGGGGGTCAACCTTCGTATAATAATTTTTGGGAATCTATAGCTGGGATCATGATATGTATCTGATAGATTCTCCATGGTTTTGTTGGGTTTCTGATAGATTCTGAATGGATTTGGTTGGGTTTCTGAGAGATTGGCGAAGAGTTGGCAAGGCGGAAGTGGACATGGAAGTGGGGGCAGAGGTGGTGGAGGCGAAGGAGGAGGACGAGGAGGAGGAGAAGAAGGAGAAGAAGGAGAAGGAGAAGGAGGACAACAAAATTGGAGTTGCGGAAAAAAGTTTCCACTATTGCCATGCCTGGTGCAGGTTTGTTATTGCTATTCTGGGGCTTGCAAAGGGGGTACCCTTTGTGGACCTGTTTTCTTGCTTTTTTTAATAAGGGTTTTATAAGGAAATCAGCTGTTTGGTAATTGGATCAGATTTCTGGAATCTAAGCTTTTGCTAATCAAAAGTGAAGGCTGCTTTGAAAAGGATTTGCTTTACTTGACTCTTTTGGCAATACTAAAAGTAAATGGAGCTAATTGACTTTTAGTATTGGAGAAAAAATTGGAGTTGGGAAAAAAGTTTCCACTATTGCCATGTTGGGTCCACTATTGGCCATGCCCTCTGGACAAGGTCTGAACATGACTCTTTTGGCAATACTAAAAGTAAATAGAGCTAATTGACTTTTAGGGAGAAAAATTGGAGTTGCGGAAAAATGTTTCTACTATTGACAAGATATCACTATTGGTCAGACAACATTATATGTATATATATATATATTACGAATGAATATATATATATATATATAGAGTGTACATAATATATGTAAAAACATGTAAAAATGTGTGTGTGTATGTGTTGTATTTGGTTGTTATGTGCCTTTTATATCCTTTTATGCATTGTTATGTATTGATTTATCAGGATTTATCAATTAATTACTGTCAATGAGTAGCGAATTGAATCGAAATCTGACATAGCTTGCGGCTCAAACAAAAGACTTCTCAATCTTCAAGAGATGTGCCAGGCCGAGGCGGCCAAGGCGGCCTGGGCCATCTACCTACGCCTACGTTGTTTAAGCCATTGAAGTTGTCAATTGCGTCACCGTGCGTCTAGGATCTCTTGAGCTGAGCAAACTAAGCCATGTGCAATGAACAGGTTCAGCCAATTGTTGGGAATGCCGTAAGTCGCCTGGATTGCCACGAATGATGCACAATCATGCGCAATCGTTGCATATGTTCTGCAATAGTATCCGGCAGCTGCGAATTTTCGGCAAAGACTAGACTTTGTCTCCAGCAAATGCACACACATATACAGTATATACAGTGTATATATATATATACTAGTATGTATGTATAGGAGCTACTAGCGATCCACAATGCAGCTGCGGTGCGAGAGACATTGATGTGGTCGTGGCGGCCTGATCAGCACACCAACATATGTCTCTGTGCCGTGAGAGTTAGGCAGCCTTTTGACATGTGCCCGCCAAAATGAGCCGCACCGGACAAACCACTTATATAATTACACAATCACCACAACATACAACCCAATAGCAAAGTCTCACGTTTCTTTCATGATAAACGCTGACAATACAATCACCAAAAAACATAAAAATAACACCAAGAGACCGGAACCACCGCACTACCACCGAGGCACTATAGCGAGACACCGCGGAAACACCGCCAAGGCATCACCGAGACCAAGACACCACTGAGACACCACCAAGAGACCACCAAAGTCAACCAGGAGACACCACCAAGACCGCCGAGACACCAACAAAAGACCACCGAGGAACCACCTAGAGACCAAGGCCTTCTGCAAGTTCATAGCGGTACCAACATGACATGGGACACCAGCGCTGCCCGTGCAAAAAGTTGACGGAAAAAGTGAATGCTTGATAAACGCTAACAACGCAAACCGGGACACCACAGAAACTACACATGCCAGCACGATGCCTACAAGACGCAACCGAGAGACCACCAAGACACCACCGAGACACAACCAAGATACCATCGAGACACCACTGAGATACCACTAAGCCACCGAAACACCACCAAGGCATCACCGAGACACTTCCAAAGCGCCACCAAGACACCACCAAAATACCACCTGAAGGCTACCGAGAAACAAACAACCACCGAGAGACCACAGAGGCCTTCTGTTTCGTGTCAAGCTCGTAATTGGGCCCGACATAACATGGGACAACGGCGCTGCCCGCAAAAAGCATATCCTCGCAAGGAACCCCGAACAGTGTTGCAAAGAACATGACCAGGGTAGCATCTGCAAGTTCCTGCAAAAGATCGCGCGCAAGATCTCCGGATATCTGAAGAAGGTCCTGTGGAAGATCCCACGTAGGTTGACAAAGATCTTTGTGGCGCGTCTCTGCCAATGGGCTCTGTACAAGATCCCTGCACAAGGTCTCTTAGAGAGGTCTCTTGTCAAGAACACTGAAGAAGATCTTTAAAATTCTTTAAACAAGATCCCTGTACAAGGGTCTCTACCAGAGGTCTCTTGGCAAGTCGCTGCAGGAGATCTCTGTACAAGATCATTCTACAAGCTCTCTGTAAGAGATCTCGATGCAAGATCTCTGTACAAGGTCTCGATAAGAGATTTCCACACAAGATCTCTGCAAGAGATCTCTGCACAGGATCTCTGTTAAGCTCTTTGTAAGAGATCTCCGTGCAAGACCTCTGTAATAGACATCCTGGCAAGATCTCTGCAAGAGATCTTTATACAGCACCTCTTTGCAAGATCTCTACAGATGGTTGTTTGGCAAGATCTCTGCACAAGCTGTCTTAAAGAGATCTCTTGGCAAGATGTCTGTGGAAGGCCTCTATAATATATAAAAAAGATCGATTGGCAAGATCTCTGTACAAGGTCTGTATAGGAGACCCGCTGGCAACATCTGTGTGAGAGATCTCTATACAAGACCTCTGTACAAGGTCTCTACAAGATCCCTTGGCAAGATCACTGTTAGAGATCTCTATACAAGATCCCTGTACAAGGTCTCTATGTGAGGTCTCTTGACAAAATCTTTGTACAAGGTGTCTTAAAAAATCGCTTGGCAAGATCGCCGTAAAACATCTTCATACAAGATCCCTTTGCACGGTCTTTCCACGCAAGATCTACGCAAGAGATCTCTAAATAAGATCTCTGTTTAAGCTCTTTATAAGAGATCTCTTAGCCAGATCTCTGTAAGGGACCTCTTGGCAAGATCCCTGCAAGAGATCTCTACACAGGGCCTGCTAAATTTCACAAATCAGCTTGAGGGTTGCACCTTATCCCACACCTTGTATTTTACATACTTAATTTCTCTAAGGGTTTCACAAATGGCCCCAAACCTGCCACAGATTTGAACTGCTTGGTCAGCAAAAATCGAGATAATTACTATACTATACATGCTAAACATGCTGGAAACCAACAATATCCGCCAAAAAAAATATTGAAAAAAACACACGTTTTTTGAGGCAAAGATGCTTGGCAATCAACTATTTTGTTTTGTTTTGATGCTCACCGAAATACCACCGAGAGACCCCACCCAGGCACCACCCAATCAGCACCAGAATCACCAGAGACCACCGAAAGACCACCGAGACACCACCGAAACACACCAAGAGGTCACCGACAAACCGAGACACCACCGTGACACCATCGACACAGCACCGTGACACTACCGAGACGCCCCACCCAGGCCGGCACCCCGGAACCCCCGACGGCGCCTGTCTGGCTTTGGAGTTAACAGCCCCAAGCTATCGCTATTGGGAAAAAGTATCGGCATCTTCGAAATGAAAAAATTATATAATTGTCCAATGCAAGGGGGAACCAGCGATCCTGTCGTGACTGTCGTGCTACCGCTTCAGTGTCACTCAGTGGAATGATGCCGCAACCAAAAAAAACCGAGCCGAGGGTCAAAAGCAGCCCCAACCTGTCCACACACAAGCGCCTCAGTTGCAGCTGACCCGGCCACCCAACAAAGCACCATAGCTATCCATAGCTGCCTGGACTCATCATTGATTTGTTCAAGGCAGCAAAGTCAACGGTGTTTATCATCACAGGTACCTACATAATTCACATGACACGGCTATGTACCTGGTGTATTCTTTTGTGCACTTTTGTCTTCCAGGTCCCTTGTACCATTAAGATATCCACTGATATCCATGTCATTCAATGATATTCAATGTCCATGCCCTGCGTGTCAGGAAACCCAGTAGTACATTGTTGTGCCAGATTGGATGGCAATCTTCTCACTGGCTGTGTAGATCACTGGCACGTCCTTCTTGTCAAGCAAGGTCCACATCTGAGGCATGTAAAAGAAGCTTGACCAACAGCAAAGTGATTGAATGACACCAATGTAGGCGAAGGAATATAGAAGCATCCTGCTGTTTACGATGGCATCTTTTCTTGGATGTCTGGGTTTTTTCTTCATCAACGAGGTCTCTGCTGGCTGAGCAGCATAGGCAACAGCGGTCCAAATATCCGTGCCAATATCGATCAAGATTACTTGAACAGTTGTCAAAGCAACTGGTATGCCGAGCAATTGCGCAAAAGTTGGGAGAGCCTGTGGCACTTTAGAGCACATGGTGTACAAGACTGACTTCCTCAAGTTTTCGGCACACAATCGCCCTTGTTCCATGCCAGCTGCAACACTTTGCAGATCATCGTCCAGTAAAACAATGTCTGCAGCTTCCTTGGCAACTTCAGTTCCGCGAATTCCCATTGCAATTCCAACTTCTGCCTCCTTGAGGGCGGGGGCATCATTGACACCATCCCCAGTCATTGCGACAATTTCTCCAGCAAAGTGTTGGTAAGCTTGCACGATCGCCTGTTTGTCCAGGGGCGACACACGGGCAAAAACGCGTGCCTGCTGAACACACTTTCTCCAAAAGTCAGCGCACTCTGGCGCCAACTCAGGATCATTTGCAACTTCCGCCAGTGTGAGGTCATCGGGAGGCAGTCCTTGACTTGAGATCATCGCACCTGTGATCGCTGCGAAATTCTCCCCACTCAGAGTGTCAACGACCTCCTGGTCACCAAGTATGCCAATGCGACGCGAAATAGCCAGTGCAGTACTGGGATGATCTCCGGTCACCATGATAGTTTGACAGCCTGCATCTCTCATGCTTGCGATAGACTCCCTCACACCAGGCTTTGGAGGATCTTCAATTGCAAAAACACCAAGGAAAGTGTAACCAGACAGCGGAAAGTTCACATCCTTTGGGCCCGAGCCCTGAAATTGAAACTCTGGCGGCGCAGCAAAGTTGCATTCAGCCACGCAAAGCACCCTCTTGCCCAGATTCATAAACTCTTCATAACATGATGTAATTGCTTTCACTTGCTCGTTGGACAACTTGCAGCAACTAACAACGAACTCTGGTGCACCTTTGAGGAGCAGTCGTATGTTGGACTCTTGAGAGCTTTGTGTCTGTGCTTCGGCAAGCCCTTGGCTGAGAGGTTGGGAACCATTGGAAGCATTGGAGCCATGAGCTGTAAGCATCCATTTCGTAGCACTGCTGAAAGGGATATCGTAGACCTGTGGGGTTTCACTCCGAACTTCCTCCAGGGGCTTCCCAACAATCAAGTGACAAGCCGAAACAATGGCGACTTCTGTAGGGGACCCCACAAATTCAAGCTGTGCTGTTTGCTTGGCGTTTGAGTTCAGAAGTCCACCTTGGGCAAGTTTCTTGAGCGTTTCACTCTTTTCAGAGTTCTGAGCTTCTTGGATGGACATGTGCTTCAATGTCGTGGCTTCTGCCTCCATGATTGCCAAATCAGTCACCGCCATCTTCCCGGACGTCAATGTTCCAGTCTTGTCACTGCACAGAACGCTGACACATCCCAAAGTTTCAACTGCATCGATCTTCCGGACGAGAACCTTCCTTTTTGCCATCTGCCGAGAAGATATCATCAAGGAGAAAGTCACAGTAGGCATCAATCCCTCTGGGACAAAGCAAAAAAATGCGGTAGAAGAGTTGAGCAACACTTTCTCAATGCTCAACTTCTGTGGTGAAAGAAGATTTGCAACTAAGGACAATAATCCTGTACATGTTGCAGTAATGGCAATCATGTGCACGAAGTGCTCAATCTGAACTTCCAAAGACGACCGAGGGCGGGCAAGCTGCACACCTTGAGCAATCTTCCCAAGGAGAGTTCCATCACCAGTTGCAAAGACCACACCAGCAAGACGACCCTCCACAACACTAGTCCCAGAAAAAAGAACATTGTTTGCTTCGACCAGACTCACAGCCGGCTGACCGCGTTCGAAAGGAATCGGGTCGGATTTTCTGGGTTCTGCAATCGCCTCACCGGTGAGAGCAGAGTTATCCACGAGGGCAGTGTCGGTTGTGCTGAGCACGCGAATGTCAGCAGGAACCCGCTGACCTGCCTCAAGCAAAACCACATCACCTGAGGGTTTCCGCAACTCCCATCTTTCCGCAGAAAACTTGTTACAACTGTTACAACATTTTACAACTACACTGCTTGATTTGAACTATGCCTGATGAAAGCCAAGAGAACTAGATGAAATATGTGTCACACATTGTCGCAACTCTCAGAACATTTCAGAACCAAACAGTTTAAGAAACACTGAGCTCCTCTCTGTCCGACCTGGCAAGAGCTGCTCTGAAGGTATTCCGTCAACAGCTCCTTTTCGGCAAACCGCAACACTCTCCTCTGACTGCATCTGTTGCAAGGAACACATCATTGACTCTGCTTGCTGCTCAGTCCACCACTGTAAAGCACCCGCCATGGTAATTACAGTTGCAAGAATGGCTGGTGTGACCAAATCAGACTCATCCGCGCCCATGAATGATGCCAATGCAACTTCCACAGTGACACAAAACCAAAGCAAAGAGTTGAAGACACCACCAAACACCTGCTTCATCAAAAGCCAAACAGCACTCGGCTTGACTGGTGGAGTCATCTTGTTCAGGCCAAATGTAGCCAAATTCCTTTCCTGCGCCTCCAGGGATAATCCGAACTGGCCGGGCAAGTTATTCAAGGCAAGGCCCTCTAAAACAGAGTTGAACTCCTCACTGAGAGCACGAGAGTCCATCGTCTGAAACCATCCTTTCGATCGAGGCGACGCAAGCGATGCAGGGGATCCATCGCCTGACCCGCCTGACCCGCCCCCTTCCCCAGCCCTGGGGCTCTGGCCCTTCCCGTCTTTGGGCTGCGCACGACTATGCCAATGATCAGCAACTGAAACAAGAAGGACGCACGCAATGATGAGAAAACATACAGTTGCTCCTAAGCATTCGCCAATGGGGTTTGTAGGACCGTCTTTGGGATGCTTGAGCTTCTCGGTGACGTCTTCAACCACTTCTTCTTTTGTGTCTACAATTTCCTTCTCAGCATCCTTTTCCAACCTCTGAACCTCTGGGAGAACTTCAGCTGGATTGTCATGGTTCTCCTGCTCACCCGGTATCAAGTGTGACGTGATGACCAAATCCTTATGTCCATGCCCTGCCTGAGACTGCGCATTTGTGTCTAGGATCGAGCTGCCAGCACTGCCTAACCCCAAATTTTGCCTCCGCAGTAGGTTCACTTTCCCTGACACACCATTGATCGTCCCTCGACGAAGCCGAGAATTTGTATTGTCAGCACTGAATGACGCACCAGCCAGCGACCCTCGCACTCGCTCCACTCTGAGGCTCTCTCTAGCATTGTCAGTTGCCAATGCTATCCCAAACAATTTGAGTACGGCTGTTAGCCACATGATGAAAATATATGGATGACCTGAGCTAGTCAGGAGAAAACACACCTGCTGTAAGAAAACAACTTTGGACCAGTATGGCCAGCCAGCGCGCAGGTGTTTCCCAGTTGTCGCAAACACATGTGGATTCGCTCAGAAATGATACTACGATTCACGATACACTGCCCATGTCTGTAAAAAATGCAGGAATAACCTCCCCCACCCTTTTTCTGAGGCTATTCTTAACCCAGCCAGTCAGTTGTTCTGACAGCTCAGGTTCGCCAATCTTTTGAGCCACTGCACTGTTTCTGCCGGCTTTAAACAGCAAAGTGCAACCGTGGCAGATGATCAGCTATGGGCGGCACGTATTGACCCTTGAAAAAAGGGGTCAGGAACTGGTTCAAACAATTCAACATCGTAAATCTCAAAGAAGGAAAGACGGACATTCAAAAGTAAGAGTAAGTAAGTTTGATCGGGTGAGACTGCTTTATTGTAGGGTTGCATCCAATGTATTTGGTTGATCTTGTTTACAGGTGTTTACACGTGTTACATGCAAACCACAAAGTCATCATGCTTCATCAACACGTTCCTTGAACACCGCGCTGAAGCCTGAGGCCTCTCAAGTGCCCGAGTCAGGTGCCTAAAAGAGCTGACTCTGCTGCAAGAATCAAACCCGATGTGTCTTGGAGGCTTGCTTGGTCCTCGGTTGCAACGAGGTCGACAAGAATTAGTTGCCACAACATTACCACAATATACCACAATATACCACAATTAGAAAATATTGATCAATATGGGACCGGGTCATGCGAACTCACTGGGCATTTTGACGACGCATAGGGCCGATAAGACTTGATTGCACGCAGCTGCCTGGCCAAATGTTGCAACGGTTTCCGAAAAACTGAATAGAAAAAAGGCCCCAAAAATCAAACATGATAAAAACATGGACCACGCATACACACACATGCGCGGGCGCACGCACACACATATCTATATCTATATCTATATCTATATCAATATCTATATCTATATTTATATCTATCTATGATGATATCGATACTCAATGCCGGCGAAGGCCCCCCAACGCTGCAGTCAACTGTCATTCCCGAATGGAACTACGCCCAACAACTGCTACGAAAAGTCACCCCAACTTTTTCGCCCATTGTAAACGCAGCACGAAAATGAAAAAGTACAAAAAACTATCATCCCAAATGTGCAAATCACCATGAGAACTGAAGTCACCCCAATGGTTTCAAAGTATGGAAAATTATGAACAAAATGACATGTTTCAATATCAAAACACCATGTAAACGCATGATTCATGTATGTTTGGGTAAAATATCTTTGTTGTTGCAAAACGCATCTAATTCTAATGTTCAAAGTTTAACAAGTACATCAAAGAAATGTCATCTTTTGGTTCAAAACACTGTGAACACATGATTCATGTATGGTTTGGTATGTTTGGGTAACAAAATCTATGGGCTTCTGATTTGCATCTCAACTCAATATTTCTGCAACGGGTTCCGAACAAGGCCAAAAACGAAGCCAAAACGAGGCCAGAAAATAGTTTCGGAAATCCCTCAGCTTTAGCAGCAGTTTACCACCAGCCCGGCAGCAAGTCTCTAGCAGGAGTCTAGAAGCAGTCTGGCAGCAGCTCAGCAGCAGTTTGCAGCGTGTGATATCCCACAGCCATTTAGCAGCAGCACAGCATCAGCCCGGCAACAGCCTAGCTACAGCCCAGCAGGACATGCAAACATGTGACTCCATTTGCTCGAAGGTCACATGAATGAGCCAGGCATGACAAAAAAACAAATTCACCAGTGTAAACACAAGCTAAAGGAAGCAAATTTTACTTCTAAAGCATCGGTTTCTATCTTACGCAACTGCTCCACAGCAAGTAAACACATGTTGGGGCGACTTTCCCGGGAAGTCCCCCCAACTAAACGCAAGATTTTGGATTGGGCGGGGTGAGTTCACTATAATCGAGCATACCAGTAGTACCGCACAAGGCGGTGGCGGAAGCTTCAAAAATAGGAAACCTATAGGAGAGATTGGCTGTCGTGAATCAGGAATGGCAGAGCGAATCCACTGATGGACCGAAAGGTGCTTGAGGTCTCCTCTCTTTCTCTCTCTTTCTCTGACTATCTACTTACCTACCAGCCTATCTTCTATGTATCTATCTATCTATCGATCTATCTATCTCTCCCTTTCTCTCTTTCATCTCATTACCTATCTACCTATCTACCTATCTACCTATCTACCTATCCACCTATCTACCTATCTACCTATCTACCTATCTACCTATCTACCTATCTACCTATCTACCTATCTACCTATCTACCTATCTACCTATCTATCTATCTATCTCTCTCTCTCTCTCTTTCATCTGTCTACCTGTCTAGCTGTCTACCTGTCTGTCTATCTATCTGTCTACCTGTCTATCTGTGGTGCAGTGTCATTCAGTGTAATGTAGTGTAGTGTAATGTAGTGTAGTGTAGTGGAGTGTAGTGGAATGTAGTGTAAACTAGTGCAATGTAGTGTAGTGTAGTGTAATTTAGTGTAGTGGAGTGTAGTTGTGTAGTCGTAGTTGTAGTTGTAGTGGAGTGTAGTGTAGTGTAATGTAGTGAAGTGTAGTGGAAAGTAGTGTATATAGTGTAATGTAGTGTAGTGTAGTGGAGTGTAGTGTAGTGTAGTGTAGTGTAATTTAGTGTAGTGGAGTGTAGTGGAGTGTATTGTAGTGGAGTGTAGTTGTGTAGTTGTAGTTGTAGTTGTAGTTGTAGTTGTAGTGTAGTGGAGTGTAGTGTAATGTAGTGAAGTGTAGTGGAAGGTAGCGCAGTGTAGTGTAATGTAATGTAGTGTAGTGTAGTGGAGTGTAGTGTAGTGTAATGTCGTGTAGTGTAGTGTAATTTAGTGTAGTGGAGTGTAGTGTAGTGTAATGTAGTGGAGTGTAATTTAGTGTAGCGGAGTGTAGTGGAGTGTAGTTGTGTAGTTGTGTAGTTGTAGTGTTGTGTAATGTAGTGTAGTGTAGTGGAGCGTAGTGTAGTGGAGTGTAGTGTAGTGTAATGTAGTGTAGTGTAGTGAAGCGAAGCGACATCTGAACCTCCAAAAGTGGTCCGAAATGTGCTTCGCGCCACAACGACGTGCACTTTTTCAACATCACAACTTCCAAAAGCGGTCCGAAGCTGAGGTGCTTTGTACATTTTGACTTGGAAATGTGCTTCGCGCCACAACGGCGTGCACTTTTTCGAGTAGATACTTTTTTTGTCGCTGCCGGTTGCCGGTGCCGGATGCCGGATGCCGGATGCCAGTGCCGCTTGCCGGATGCCGGATGCCATATGCCGGATGCTGGCCGGTGCCGGATGCCGGTGGCCGGATGCCGGTGCCGGATGCCGGTGGCCGGATGCCGATGCCGGATGCCGGCTGCCTGCATGTGCCAGAGGCCGGATGCGAATGGCCGGTTGCCGGATGCCGGATGCCGGTGCCGGATGCCGCGTGCCGGGTGCCGGTTGCCGGTGCGTGTCGGTGACTGGTGCCGCTTGGCCGGTGCTGGTTAAGTTGCCTGCTGTTGAGTAAAGAAATTGCCCTTCATTACGATGTGGCGTGAAGAACTGGTTAAGATAGCTTTAGCAAAATTAGTTTAATGAAAGGAAGAGAAACGTTCCGAAGATTGATGCTTGCAGAGATATGTGAACAACACATGAACAGAGATGCGCGCAAGACATTCCTACCCTGGTTACGACCAAAGTGGGACAGAAAACGTGGAGGAAATCAGAAGCACATTCTAATTGAGAATACATCCGCTTCACAGAGCCCAACCTGCACTTTCGAAATGTGTATGAGCATTTTACAAGAGCTACCTGATACGGAATTGTAGAGGTAAAATGCCACGCACGAGAATGAGCCGAAAACGCGGACACCCACTTCGCGCGAGCCTGCGCAATAGAAATGCAGGTCAACATCTCAGAAGAACCACTGTATACGGAAATTGACAAGAAAAATGACGGCGCCCAGCTGGAGCACCCCGATGAAGCACCGGCTTTTACGCCGACCGTAAGAACCCCTCAGTGTGGACACAGTGTTTTGGGGAACCCCAAAAAAAAGCTTTCCGGAAGGGTGTTGTTTAAAAAGGGATGACTTGGAAGAAGCAATCCAAAACATTATTGCCAACGAGTTTTCCTTCATGGATATGCAGAATCCGGGGTATCTTATTAATGTAAACTGAACATTACAGGCGTCTGCGTGTCAAAGTGTCTGCGCGTAAAAACTTTTGGGGGTAAAGCTTCTGTGTGTAGTGAAAAAGCTTCTCTGGGTAAGAGTTTCTGTATTAAAAGCCTTCTATGTGTAAAAGCCCCTCTTTGTAAAAGCTGGACTATGTCAAAGCGTGTGTGTGCAAAGACTTCTCTATATGAAAAAGCTTGTGTATATTAAACGCGTCTATTTATGTATAAAAACTCCTTTGTATAAAGACTTCGGCCGGTGGGCCGGTGGGCCGGTAGCCGGTGGCCGAGCCAGGGGCCGATGGATCGGGCCGGTGGCCGGCAAAGCAACAAATGCCGTTCGCATACCGTCCGGGCGAGGCCCGTATAGCCGTGCCTATGGCGAGTCCAAAGGGGATCACTTTTAGAGGTCTCAAGAGTTGCGTAGCCTCGTTTCGCGTGGCAGATGTAGCACTGTGTGACATTCCAACATGCTTCATGACGTGTATTAAGTCTTTTTATGTAGCCGGCGCAATACTTCCGCAGCCGTTCGCAACGGTTCGTAAACCGTCCGCGCGAGGCTCGTATAGCAGTGCTCATAGCGCGTGCAACAGAAGGGTCACTTGGAGGTTTTAATCGTTGTGTACCTTCGTTTCACGTGGCAAGCGTGGCGGTGACAGGCCAAGGTGTTTCATAACCTGTCAAAAGTCGTTTTGTGCTGGGTATTGCTGGGTGCCAGTTGCCGGTTACCAATCCCTGTGAATCAAATGCTGGGTCTATTTCCTGACATTTGTGGTAAACCTTGTTTTTTGACGTCCGTATGCATTATTTGACGTCCGTAGCCAAAATTTGGCAACGTT